CTCTCTCTCTCTCTCTCTCTCTCTCTCTCTCTCTCTCTCTCTCTCTCTCTCTCTCTCTCCTCTTTCTGTCTTTGTCCCTCCCCTCCTATTCGTGCCCGCTTCTTCTTCTTCCCTGTCTCCCTCTTTTCCTCTCTTCTCCTTCTCTTCCCTCTGTGTATGAAAGGCCTTCCCCTCCCTCCCCAAGACGATTTTCCTGGCTCAAGAGAAGCTTCCCAATAAATCTGCCTTTAATATATTCTAATCTGGCTTGAATTGGCTCATTTCACCTGTGAAAAAAATAAACTATCAGCTATAGGAAATTATGGGACACAATTCCAAACATCACTAAGAAACATTAACCTCTGTGAAATCAGCAGGCCGATGACTGGTCTGGTCTAGCTTTCTGATTGAGTGATAGAAAAAAGAAAAGTAAGGCAAAGACCAAATCAGTGGTGAGCTAAAGCAGGGCAGGTACTTGAAGGGATGTATCTCCATGATGGGATAAACAACAAACCTGTGGTACAGAGCATTTCTCAGGAGCCAGGCATGATGACACACTTCTGCAATTCCAGGACTTAGGAGGCCAAGGAAAGAGGATTATAGTTTCCAGACCAGCCTGAGCTATACAGAGACCATATTTCAGAACAACCAAACAAAACCAACAAAACCAAAAAAAAAAAAACCCTCATGGTATAAGGTTAATATCAAAATGCAATTTGCAAAAGTGTACATACTGTCCGATACTATGGAGACAACAGAAGCATCTTTCTACAAAGCAAAATTAGAAGATAAACAGTAATGGAAGACAAAGCAGTTAAGGGGCTGCTGAACACTGGAAAGCAAGGAGCCAGCAAGTGTCAAGTGGCGGCTGGTAGTTGGAGCTTCTGAGTAGCCCCCGTTTCCACCCAGTGAGCTACTTTTAAATTATGTTATTACATGTTACTTATGTCCCCCTCCCGTGTGTGTGTGTGTGTGTGTCTGTGTGTGTGTGTGTGTGTGTCTGTGTGTGTCTGTGTATTCTCTCCTTCCACCATGTGGGTCCTATCGATTGAATTTTTGGAAACTCAGGTCACTGAACCATCTTTCCAACCATAGTGACATATTCTTTTTAATGCAGACATCTATCATGGCATTAGGTAGATTCTGTTTGTGTAGAGTTTTTTTGTTTTTGTTTTTTTTGTTGTTGTTGTTGATTTGTTTTGTTTTTCTAAGAACATCATCCAAATTCTGGGCAAAGGAAAAAACAATTACGGGAAGGTCAAAACATACTGAAGCCATGGACACGTGGCAGCCTGGTACAGTTTCCTTGACTTATCATCCAGTCAGAGACCTAGTAGTAAAGCAAAGGCTAAAGACAGCAGGTGTTAGCATTCTTTCTAAGCTCCACCTCACAGTTACCTGGCAACAGCCAGGCATGCCTGACTCAGTATAAAAGGATGGTACCTCAGGGAAGGGAAGCCTTAGCATGGACCTGCAGAGGCACCCCCTACCACCTTATCATACTGCACCCCTACCAAATACATCCAGGCTCTTTCTTTTTTTTATAAAACTCAACAGCAGGAATCATCTGGAGAAGCACGCTGGCTCATCTCCTCCCATAGAGACTCCAGATGAGATGATGCTCTAGAGGTCAAACTCTAGGAGGCATTTTCAAATCTCCGCCGGGGATTGTACTGCAACCTCTGACCACACTTTTATCGCTAGTTTTCTGGGTTTTTCTTACATTTTGGTCGTTGTGTTATTGTTATTTTGATATGGCTTTTTGGAAGAAATGTCTAAGCAAGTAATTTTTTTTTAATTAATACCTCAACTTCGAAAACAAAGAAAAAAACAAGAGTGTATGCTTTAAATCATCCTGGTCAACTTTGTTTTAACAATTGGTGGTTGAAACTGAGGCCTAAAATGAAGCGGTTTTTTTTTTTCTCTTTTCTCCAGCTGATGAGGTTTTTTTTCCTCCTGTAGTCATTTCCTGCTTTTCTCATTAGCATAGCTAATTAATGGTTAGCTGTACAAGAAGCGGCAGTAGTCTGTAATTTGAAGCATTGCTAATTAACCTTGATGCATGCATTCAATTCTAAGTTGAAATATCTACACCGTTTTATAAACTCAATGATATTTCGAACTAGAAACACAAACTGCTTTCTCTGGCATCATTTCCTGGTCATTATTGAACGCTCACACTCAATAGATACCTCACGGGCTGCACTGTCAACTTAGCGCTCAAAGAAGCCATCTTTACTGAGGGCCAAAGAAAGTAGATACAAAATGGGACAGTGTTTACCATAAGAAAAATTTAAGTCACCAGATATAGAGCTAATATCTGTTAATATTTCTGTTTTTGTTTCCTTTCCAATCATACAACTAGTACACATTCTTTAAATAATAGAGTTCAGAAACAACAAAAATGGGGAAAAATCTTCTTCATAATTTCAATTCCCAGAGATAGCCATATAACATATTTATATACACACTGCTGCCCTTTTTTATGTGTACAAAAATTGGGTTGTTCTGCTGTCATTGTCCTGAATGCCATGAGTCATGTCATTCAATATTCTCCTATGGTGTCATCTCAGTGGTGACATTATTATTATTATTATTTAAAGTTTTATTTTGTCACCCAGTTTTCACTATCAATAAAATGTTTGTTCACTCATGATTATTTCCTTGTTATATAGTTGCAAACAAGTGCTGAACAGAACAATATATGACATTTGAAGTCCTTAACATATATGGTTGAGAATGGCTTCTCATCTTGACTCCATGAGTTTCTACTCCCAGTAAAGCAGAAGACAGAACGTGTCCCACTGTGCTAGCAGTGAGCACAAGAGCTTCCATGACATTCATTCCAAAGGAGTTGTTTCAGCTTA